AAGTGATGCAGGTCTCAGACATTTACAGCTTTGGTAAAACCCACGAGCATGGATACTGTGCTGACAAACCTAGAAACATAATCATGGCGAACCGAGATTCGAACAACGGATCATAGGTGTCTGTCCGAGGGACGTAACTGCACAGCGAATTGCAGAGCCTTAAACGACAGGGCCACTCGTGCCCCCTACTGGTGCAATGACCGTCATATCTTTCAACTTCTGGCAATATCAATTTGGCCGCCATGTTACCTACCCCATTGTCCACTGTTACTTTATCTGCAGCTATAAATGCATTTTATGATATAGATAGTTGTCATCTTCACACATCATCAACTGACGCGTTACTTAAACGATGGAGAGCGCTTCAGAACTCAAGCAATGTGATCTAGAATGCGTTTCATCCCATAGATACAGTGCAGTCCGCTCACAGCAAACGAAATCGTGTTCTGGCAGATCAAGCTCCTGAACAAACAACTGATACCACTGCAGCACAAGACATCGCATCCCTTAATATAGAGAGTGAGATAACACGGCGACCGTTTTCATGCCGTACTTGCCGATCCTGCGTTTCATGCCGTATTTAGAACTTGGCGATCTTGCGAATGCTGTTACCAGTTTTAATACGAAAACATACCGAGCATCGAACAAAATTTGATGTAACAACAAGACAGCCTTCAATGATTGGGGTTTACCATCCACTTGATTTATGCGTTGTTCATTAAAAAAATATATTTTACTCACCCAAAAAAACAAACGCGCATGTAGTTTTCAAGAGATTCATTCTGTAAAAGCGATACGCGGGACTTGTGTGTGCAAGACTACAACGTGAAATAGAGTTCATCGGAGAAGTCTTTGCATGTGTCGGTTACGTCACTGTCGTAAGCACGGCAATCGTAAAACCTGGAGAACATCTAAATACCTCTGAACTAAAAAGCCTACGTATGACACCTTGTGGAATGGCAGCCCATTCTTTCTGAACAGCTTGGTGTAATTACGACTGCCTAGCTCATCCCACAGATGCTCAGTTGGATCAAGTGACCTTGACGGTCACGGCAGCACGATCATGATGTGAGCTCTCGGGAAATCGGTTCAGACATTTGTGGGGACGAGCATTGTCATGCTCTAAAATGGCACCTGGTGCTTGTAGAACCGGGACAACCTGAGGATGTAATATTTCGTCATGATAGCGCACAACTTCTGGGTATGAACGAGATCTGCCCTTCGCCCATTACGCCAACGCTGGGGGAGCCACTGATGATGTAATCGACACTACTGCAGCCGCAGAAGTCCATTTCGCTGAAGTATAATGACGCCCACACAGTTTAACATAGACTTACGTCAGTCGTCGCCAAAGATCGTCTTGTGGATCTGGCCCCTGATCTTGGGCGGTCTCAAGAAGTGCCATGTTGCCGATATTGTGTTCACCTGCTTTGGGCATTGTAGAACTGCCTTGCCACTGGTGCTTCAGATTCATCGTTTTGTGACACTTCATCAGTCAAAAAGAACCTGTAAGACTTCATCTCCATGTTGCAATGCAATGAAATTAGTGCTACCATCTATGGGCTGTTTTGACGGGGTTTCTTTTTTTAAGTAATGTCAAACTGACCCCCGGTCTTTATCACGTTGGACGATGTTAGCCCCGTGTTTCACATTATTACTGTTACGTGAATGTTTAAAGCGATTTAAAAGCCAACTCACGCAGTAATCCAGTCGCGTGGATCATGCTACTTCTCCGCATTAGGTACCAATATTCAAGCCTCGCAGGAGTTTGGTTTTGCTGACTGAGGCTTGTGGTTAAATAGTTTAGTAATAACACCGAATTCCCAGGTTCGATTCGCATCATGGGTGGCATATGTGAACCCTACTCTAGGCGTTCCCCGCCGTGATACTGCTTGACAAGCCTTGAAAGCGGCGTAAAATCTTATTCACACGATGACCGTAAAAAGAATTGAGATTCCCGCGAGGCAACGACCACCTATTTGTTAATGTCCAAACTTGAACATCAATGAACAATTCACACATAGTTAGGGACGATGAGGTAGCCCTGTGGTGAAGCGTTCGCTCGTCACGTTTAAGACCCGGTTTCGATGCCCCACGTGGATATAATGTGTGAAACCCATTTCTGGATTATTGCTAAAAGCGGCGTAAAACCATACCGACTCAATCACACATAGTTAACACATGTGGAGTATTGTTCTATCGTGGTTTCACAGATGAAATGCGCTGGCACCTCATACATCTATAGCTGTCGCTTCAGTTGAACTGCGTCCAAGTCAACTCCTTGCTGGAGTTATGTCCCTTGGTACAGCGCTTAACGAGAAGAGATCTGAGCGCTAATGCTGGAGTAACGTACGACGATACGGATTAAATTGAACATTAACTAGAGAATATTTACATAGGCTGCTGTGAGGGCAAGCTGCATACAAGTACGTAACAGTAGTTTCAACACATCTAATTGTTATAAATTAAACGATTGGGAACACCCCCACAATATTAATAGGCTTGAACTCATGTTGAGTCGAGAATGGATATAACGTGTGCCATGCTTGTATACCTTATATGCTGATGCATTTAAATAAGTCTTGAAAAGGTTTACAACTTTCAGTAATTCTTCTAACTGCAAAATACATGTCAATGTTTAATTATCCCTAAAAATATAAGCGTATGCCACCAATTATACCTCGTGAAATTCTTATACCCCGCCATGAAGCAGAAAGTTGTCTTATTCGCATATCAGCCACTTTGATGCTTTTGGCAGAGATTTCCCATGAACATGGAAAAAGGGTTAAGTCGGTTATATTTATTTGATACGAGATTAGCATTTTCAAATAAAAATATCCCAAAAGTTAGCGATATTATATTAAAAAAAAGTAACAGCACTGGTGCTTAGTCAGCACTCAAAGAATACTTCTACGTGGTTTTATTGATAAAAATATGATTTGATTTAAAACTTTTTTGTAATATTATTAGAAAAATATCGCATAATACACAACTGCCGATGGGTATATTAGACATGTTATCTTTGAAAATAAAAACCTGCTTTTTCTCGGCACAAATTTACAACATTGTAGGGGTCATGTGGTTGCAAATTCATTTCTTAGCTCTGTCTTCATGAAACCAATTTCTTTTTACACAAAATCACCCAGCCACAGATTAATTGTTTACAAACTGTTGCAAGAATGGGTGATGTTTAAATAAGCATAACCAAATTTAACAGCAGTGCTTTCAATTTTCAATTAAAGAAAAACAAACTCTTTTACCCCTCAGTTTATTTAATACTTAATGACAATTAGCTCTTTTAGTTCATGAAAAAAAAAATGATGAATGAAAATAAATATATTTTTAAGAAGTTTAATTTGTTATAGTTCCTGGCTATAAATAGATAACGGGTTGGTCCATTACAACATGGGTGACAGCCCTGTGTAGTAGACCATTACTAGACTTACATTGCTTTAAGCTGTAATTCATTCATTCATTCATTCATTCGACAATATCCTCCCTTGGCCAGAAACCTGTACTCGTGGGTTCGAATCCCGGTTCGCTCCGTTTAAGTTTCTAGGTTTGTCAACACCATACCCGTGCTCGTTGGTTTCACCAAAGTGGTAAACGTCTGAGACCTGCATCATTTCTGACTTTTCCTCCCACATTAGAGAGTGAGTTGGGTTTAACGCCGCTTTTTTCAGTTATATCGCGGCGTGTCAGCTTAATGTGGGAGGAAAGCCCGAAGTGATGCAGGTCTCAGACGTTAACCACTTCGGTTATAATTAAACCCACGAGCACGGGTATGGTTCTGACAAACCTAGAAACATAATCGGGGCGAACCGGGATTCGAACCACAATCATAGGTTTCTGGCGTGGCCAATGGACGCAACTCTGTACAGAGAATCGCGGCGCCTTAGACGACTGGGCCACCCGTAACCACTCTGTTTGGTGTGTATGAGAAATTACGAAAGCAAATGTGAAAAATACACAAATCCCAGATTTGTCGTGATCCCTAATCGAAACAATAATATAATTTGAAATCAAGATTCAAAAAAAAAATATTAATTGGAATTTTAATAGGGCCAATCGTTTCCAGTTAACGAGGCCTAACTGAATATGGGACTGTTTAGTTTGAAACCCCTGGTGTATGCAGAGTGTCATCGTAATGGGAATCTCTGATTTCAGTGAATACATATGTATGGTTCCATTGTAACAGGTAAACATGTCCCAATATAATAATTTTAATGGCATGTCGGGATAATTCTTTCGGATGATCTCATTCCCTATGAAACAAATTCGTAGATGGCTGATTCATTGGCCTGTCCTTCCCGTTATATGAGGAAGCGAGATCAGACAAGACCTGGGTTGGAAGAGCAGTGTTGTGCTAATTGCCCAGATGTCTATAACTACATGCCACGTTTCAGTGCAGCCATCGCTAATCGATAAAACGTGTTTAGTGAAGTGTTCGAGCGTCTATATACATGTATACATAATCATTTCACTGTACAAACTGTAGCCAAATACGTGGAAAGAACGAAAACAGGCATGAGTGTGTATTTCACCGAAATGTACATTTCACTGAAATAGACACATGTACATTTCACCGGCTGAACGGTAGCTGTCTCCCGCACCGCCCTCTATCGACCGGCAGTGTCACTATAACTGTTGTCGGTGGAGAATGCAAGCTCTATCGGTACCACTCGCTTGTTTACACTTCACATGAGCACCAATGGAGTTATGTTGGAGAGGGCGGGGCGAAACTTTACAGCATGTCAATCAAATAATGTTCCTTTCGCATGTTCTCATAAAGTTTGGATAATATGCATGTGATAAAGTAGTACTTTATTATAACATACGCAGCCGCGGTAGGTGTTAACAGTTTGTTGAATAATTCCCACCTTTATACACTAAAGAAAAAAATTAATCAAGGCGAAAATAATGGGTGAGAGTTACAGTCAGTGTTATAAACAATTGTTGCACTATTTTTGAGTACAGTGGGAGTACATGTATTCAAACCTCATGACTGACTAAAGCATCGTGGAAACTATGGTGAGTGGGCGATATGTGAAGCTCGCTATAAAAGTGCCAGCTCTCTCATATGCAGGTGACATATAGCACGGGAGTCTTTGAGATAACGAGTCCTTGGCCAACGGAGCAAGATACTTCTTAATCTGTCTTTGAACCACTTACACAGGAACAGGCTTGTCTCTCGCTCGTGGGACATCACCCTGAACACGGGACTACATGTATAGGACTTAAGTAATTACTTAACTAACGATCCAGCTCATGCATGCATGCGTTCCAAACGTGCTAGCCTTGTCTTAATTGGTACCCGGAATAAAATGACCAGTTCTATCGGATTGTTCATCAGCGTTTGAAAGAATCGCGCTTCCCTCCGTGAGCGGGACGGTTTACACTACCGGAGCAGCCCTGAGAGGCGTGCGAGATTTCCACGTTGAGCGACGTTAATACTCCAAGGGAGTTTGGAAATCGGCGCCGGAGTGACAGCAAGGAGGCGGGGATACGTGGACGGAAATGGGCCAACATGGCCCCCTCACACACAAACGCGTTGCCGGCTAGAACACAACACGGATATCGATATAGCTTTACAAAGCGTACATCACAAGATGCACCCATACCGACCATGGGCAGTACATTCACTCTACAACTGTTACAGCTGATAATTACACTTCTTGCTCTCAGCGAGTGTCTCCCCATCCCTACGGGAGGGACCACCCCGGGTATCACATCTCAGTACCCCGTCACCAATGCATTGCCCGTACCATTCACTGCAGATGCCACGAGGGCAGTCATTCAAAGCATGGAGAAACTTTGGATCCAAAGATTCGAGAATTCGGACTATTTTAAACAATTGCCGAAAGGTCTCCAAGAGGATGTGAAAGAATTTTTGAACTCAAGGACCCGAAATATTCTTGAAGGGGACCAAAGTTTGAATTCTCAGGAAAATAATTTAAGGAATAATATTCCTTCCCCTCGGGGAGGGGATTCCATATCTGTAAGTGACTCTCTTAAGTCAAAAGAAATCACATTAGAGGCGAAAGACCCAGGTCCCGAGAGCCCGAGTTTGGACAAGTCTAAAAGTAGTAACATTACAGTGGTCGTTGAGCCGACCAGGGCTGGACATCGGTCAAAGAGGAGCTATGGACGATCGTATCTGGACAATAGGATATCCCCGTACCTCTCTGGTGGCCCAATTGACATTACATACACCCATGTTGTGCCGTGCGTGTATGCCGATCGGTACTACTGTCTTAACGGAGGAACATGTGTGTTTGTGGGAGCGCTGGACTTAAAAACCTGCAGGTGAGACCGTTGATGTTGTATGCACGTAAACTTTGCACACACGTTCTAAGAACACATTATTTAGTACCATGTCTAACCTTAACGCATTTTACCAACAATTGGACCAACCTTATGTTTGAAAACGAGTAGCGTTAAAATGCACTAAACATTAGAAGTGGGTTTCGTAAGAAACCCGCAACACATACGTGCTGACGTGAAATGCGATCCTTAGTTTTGCTTGAATACCAAACATATGTGCTTGGGAATAGGGTCAAGCTTACTGTTCATACCCGATCAATTAGTCCCGGGGTTGAATGTCCCACAAACCTTGCCAGTCTGATTCATCAGTATACGGAGAAGCGTTACATGATGCGTTTAGTGTTAATTGACTCTACTCCTCGCAAGACGGTGTTTAGGAACGCTAGTTCCACGTCTCATTCGTCTATTAATTCAAAGATATACACGCAGGTGTTCCTTTGGGGTGCATGTGTTTCTGCAGGATCCCTGTAAACATATCTCTGCGTGTAGCAACTGATGCACATGTCTTTCGAGTTATTATTAACCCCAATGATGCCATTTGAATATATATATATACCGAGAAACTATTCTCCCAACGACTTTGTGTATTGATTTTAGGTACATTTCACCGCGTGTATGAAATATATATATATCCGGGTGCATCATTCAGAACGAATGGAGGAAGCTGGTGGATCTCCATTTACCATTTCTTCTGTATGGATCTTTTTGTGTCCATATACTTGCTCAATAATTAACAATACTATGTCATCAAAAAGGATGATTTTCACAATTTCTTGTCAGTGTTATACGTTGGTGAAATTGATATGTATGAACTCGGCCGTGATTTCAGCTAATGATACGGGCATTTCAAAAATGTTTCCAAGCTATTACCCTTGAGGCTGGAAACAGTGTAATTCGTCCCCGAACTCGTAAAATATATCCTTCGGTGATTGATAGCCTTTTGGGGTAGATTGTGGAATATCTGTACTTCTCGGGTGACAAAAAAGAGGATTCCGATGACATGAGGAAAATAAGAAGCGCACGTATATAACAGAAGGCTTATTGATCGATTTGACGGGAACGCCCTACTTGTCGAATTATCGCTGTCGTTGAGTTGACGATGACATAGTGGACCTGGCCTTGCCGAGTTAATTTTAATATACGCTATTCTTATTCAACGTCATCAGTTTCATTATATTATATTATATCTTGTTTAATCATACCTATATTACAGTACATATAGTTAACAGTCATGCTGTTTGTAAAACGGGTATTATTTATTTATTCTTAAATGTGACGTTTTCAAGTCAATTTCAATTTAGTCTCGACCATGCCTCGTCATATGCTGAAGATGTTACATGTATAATATACAAAAGGCTACACATAAAGAAAAAACAAACAAATGTTGATCGTGCCTGAATTATGATAAGAGTCGTACATGTATCATCTATTGACACCGCGTCATTGGCACCGATTTCCTATTTGTGGTTTATGTACATAAAATATTTCGGATGTTTCCTCTATCTTACGTAACGTCTCGCGAGAGCTTCATGACGTGCGCTCTACCGACGCGTCAACTCTCCTCGCTGCAAGTGACGGGCTGGGTTCACTTCGGAGGCCGAGGCATTGCTCGGTTGAATTGGTAACCTAGGATCATTATAACTGCTCTTGCTAATAAAGGTGGTGCTTCACGGGACAGAGGTGGTGCCATGATGACATTATCATGTGGGAATAATATGTGGATGTGGCTTACTCATGGCAAATGAGCAAACAATAAAATCATAAGTATGTACCAAAGAATTGTTTTGGTCTCAGGAGTCATTGTGTGATGGTTGTCTTTAATGGGCAGGGATGGTGAAATTATGTGTGTGCGTGTGTGTGCGTGCATGCGTTGTTTCGTGCGTGTGTGTGGTTCTCGATAATCGGGTGGATAATGGTTAGTTTGATCAGAAAAGAATTCGATAAGATATCGGTTTGACTCAGGTGAAAAATTGGGTACACGCGGAAGGAAAAAATAGATTCAGAAGTGTAGTCGTGATAAAATCGGATTAAGATCCCATGCGAGCGGCTGATTGCAATATATTAGGTATCGTGTGAATAAGCGTCGCCCCGACGGGAAGAGGATTGGCTCGATATTAAGGACGTGATAGCCTAAGTGTCCTTTAAGATCAAGTTAATATGTGTTTGTTTGTTTGTTTGTTGTTTAACGCCGCACTAAGCAATATTCAAGCTATGCGACGGCGGTCTGTAAATATTGGGGCCTAGACCAGAAAATCCACTGTTTGACAGCATGAGCATCCATCTACACAAATGGGATATGATGACATACGTCAACCAAGTCGGCGAATATGATACCCGATCACCTTGGTTGCCTCTTACAAGCATGGGTTACTGAAGACCAAATTTAACCCGAATCTTCACGGGGAATAAAGTTAATACAGACAAGCGATGCAGGAAAGTAAGTCAATTTATCGGGTGGATGAGTATGGTATCAGTTATTTGATAATGTTCGGGGTATAAGGGGTATAAGGAAAGTAAGGATACAACATTTTGTAGCAAATCTCACCATATAGCGACGGGAAATCTAAGAATGGAATCCATTTTATCCATTTATGGAATCCGAGGTCGGGGGAACCAGCCAACCCTTGGCAGGCTCATAACCCGTTTGGCGCAAAATGGAAGATTTATGGAAGGTATGGAAGGTTCGAGAGCGAGGATAGTGGGTTTGGATAGGAGGTAAGGTGAAATTGGGTTTAACGTCGCGTCCAAGATTATTGCACTTATATAGGGACGTGCATGTACGTGTATGTATTTGTGTGGCTGCTTGTACTAGTCCGGACTAATGCCGATTTATAGTGCTAGCTCACTGAGATACCATGCCGCAGGTTAACATGAATACCCCACTCAGACACAGTTTACTGACTCCGAGCCGACCAGTCCTTGTTTTAGCCCCTAATGCCGAGCGCCAAACAGGATAACAAGTACCATCTTTTAAACGTCTTTTGGTATGGCGCGGCCGGGGGTCGAACCCCGGACCTTCCGCTCTCCGTGCGGAGGCTCTACCACTAGACCACGGAGGCGGTCTTGGGATAGGAGCACACCGTTCGTAACGGATCATTGTGATCTTTAACCCATGCTACAAAACATGTACAATTATGTAATTGCTGCGATTGTCATGGCGCTAGAAATCGATTTGTAAGACGCATCATGTGATATCACAGGGCATAATTACTTGAAGACTTTATTCTCATCCCAGCTGGAAAAAGTCGCCTAATATACGGTATTCTATCTTTCTAGTTGGTGCCAGAAACGCTGAGATGTTTACGAATAAAAACGTATTCTATTAGCCGGTCGGTACCGAATAGATTAACACGACCAGAAATACACTTTAAAAAATGTTACTGCGGTCCTACACCGGAACCGGAAACGGAAAAGGTAGGTTTTCACAAGGCTATTTACGTTTTAGTGAGAGTGTGGGTGACGGGTCACTAGAGTCATGCAGTGTCCTGATAAGACCATATTACGTACGGTATTATTCATATATACATTGAATACCATGATTGTGTACTTGATATATGTTGGTCGCACATACGTAAGACAGCGACGTTCCAACTACTGCTTACTGTGTCAATGGTGAGGATACATTATGTATGTCACTATAGTTCAGGAATCTTGGCGTGCGTCATTCAGTATCGAAACATTCCGTTAACGACATTATGAGAATTTTTTATTTACCAATCTACAGTTGTATCTGACAGAGCTGCACCGGGTCTGGGAGGATGGCATTAGTCCACTTTCATGTTTAAGTATGAAAAAATGCCATAAGCTGGTACAACTTCGAAAATATCACTCAAGAGATTTTCTGACACTATAGCACGATCCGAAACCGTTAGCCCCTAAATGCTGTCCTGTTGGTTAAACAGAGCAGACATTTGGTTAAAATATCCCATTGGATCACATAATTCACGGTCTTTAACAATACATAAGCCTTAATACCTAATATGACTTGTAAAATATGATTGGTAGCTTGTCTGAAACTGTACTTAAATCATATGGTTGGTTGGTTGGTTGGTTGGTTGTTTAACGCCGCACTCAGCAATATTCCAGCTATATGACGGCGGTCTGTAAATAATCGAGTCTGGACCAGACAATCCAGTGATCAATATCATGAGCATCGACCCACGCAATTGGAATCGATGACATGCATCAACCAAGTCAGCGAGCCTGACCACCCGATCCCGTTAGTCGCCTTTAACGACAAGCATAGTCGCCTTTTACGGCAAGCCTGGGTTGCTGAAGATCTATTCTACCCCGGAATCTTAAATCATATGGACTCTTGGGTTAGTTTAAAATTTAAATTTAGAATTTAAAATTAAAACATTGCTTATGTACATTACTTGTTCCTTCTTTGTTGATATGCACACATTTCTACATCTAGTCTATCCAACACTGCCTGCTGTGTTTGGCCTAATCGTGAGCCAGTATATCCACGTGACATCACTACTCAAAATGTTATGGATGATTTTCAAGAAGGTTAAGAACGTTTTAAAAGGCACTTAATTGTAACTTAACCTGGCTGTAGGAAGGGGTATCTCGTTAAAGAGCTTATGGAAGTGAATTATTCATAACGTATGAAATTTTATCAAGATTATTTTAACATGAAATAATTGTTGACATTATTGGCATGTCATTTCCTATCTGTACTCTTAGAGTTTGTGTTCTGCATTATCAGGACCATTGGTACTAGACCCAATACGCTTAGCATACGTGTTTAGGGTTTTACCCCAGCGTGCGAGTGGGTTTAACACTAGTTTGAGTGAGTGAGTGAGTTGGGTTTAACGCCGCTTTTAACAGTATTCCAGTTATATCACGGCTTAATGTGAGAGGAAAGCCCGAAGTGATGCAGGTCTCGGACGTTTACCACTTCGGTGAAACCCACGAGCACGGGTATGGTGCTGACAAACCTAGAAACATAACCGGGGCGAACCGGGATTCGAACCCAC